CCATGTAGAAAAGAGCTTGGATGGCAGGCTCGTTGCTCTGCGGGTTGAAAACACCACATTTGCAAACGTATATGCACCGTCGGGAACAGCAATGCGTGCCGAGCGAGAACGCTTCTTCAATAATACCGTCGCCTTTTATCTTCGGCACAACACCGAACATCTAATACTTGCCGGAGATTTTAACTGTGTGCTACGATCATGTGACTCGTCGGGCTTCAACAGCAGCCCCGCTCTCCAGGCCACGGTACAGCAGCTACAACTCAACGATGTTTGGGTTAAGTTGTACCCCACGACCCCCTCCTCCACATACGTAACGCACAACTCGGTCTCCAGGCTCGACCGCATATACGTCAGCAATGGTCTATGCACGTATCTCCGGAGTGCAGCCACGCATGTATGCTCTTTTACGAACCACAAAGCGCTTACCGCAAGAATATGCCTCCCTACCTCGGACGCGAACCTGGCCGCGGTTACTGGTCCCTTCGTCCCCATATTCTCACTGCAGAGAACATCGAAGAGTTCCAGATTAGATGGCAATATGTAACCCAACAGCGACGGAACTTTCCAAACTGGATAACGTGGTGGATATCATGCGCTAAACCGAAAATTCTTTCTTTTTTTCGGTGGAAATCTCGCGACGTGTACAGGGAATTTCATGCTGAACACCAACGTTTGTATTCGCAGCTTCGGCAAGCATATGACAACTATTATCAAAATCCAACGATGTTGGCTACGATCAACCGTGTGAAAGCGCAGATGCTTACTCACCAGCGAATGTTTTCCCAGCACTTTATGCGTATCAACGATACATTCATCGCGGGGGAAAATATCAGCACGTTCCAGCTTGGCGAGAGGCGAAGGAAAAAAAACCGTCATAACAGAGCTGGGTATCGAGAACGGCGAGACTCTAAACAGCTCCGAAACAATTGAAAACCACCTGCTAAACTACTTCAGGGAGCTTTACACAGCGTCTGACGAGAGCGAGGAGGCACAATCTTCTTTCCACTGCGAACGAGTGATTCCAGAAAGCGACGAGCGAAACGAGGCGTGTATGGCTGAAATAACAACAGCAGAAATAATGTCATCTATTCGCACATCGGCTAAAAGGAAGGCTGCTGGCAGCGACGGGCTTCCCGTCGAATTTTACCAACGTACGTTCGATGTCATCCACCGAGAGTTAAATCTCGTTTTAAACGAAGCTATGACCACGGAGCTCCCCGCTGAGTTCGTCAACGGAGTAATCGCGCTTGTACGAAAGAGAGGAACTGTAAACACGGCACGAGGATACCGACCGATCAGCCTTCTAAACGCAGACTACAAAATCCTCAGCCGTATACTCAAATCTCGTTTGGAGATTGTGTTGAGGTCGTACCCGGTTTTGAGCGATGCGCAGAAGTGCTCTAACGAAGGGCACTCAACAGCAACTCTTTCTCTGAAGGATCGCATTGCAGAGCTGATAGCGAGGAAGCGGAGAGGGAAACTAATAAGCTACGATCTCGATCACGCTTTCGATCGAGTGTCCCACTCATTTCTCTATGGAACGATGTGGCATTTGGGGATAAACCCAGCCTTCGTCGGTTTACTGGCTCGTATTGCCGGACAATCTTCGTCTCACCTGCTGGTCAACGGGCATCTCTCGCAGAGCTTCGCCATCGAACGTTCGGTTCGCCAGGGGGACCCTTTGTCTATGATACTGTTCGTCATCTACCTCCATCCGTTTCTGCAACAACTGGAGCCACTCGTCGGCCCCGATCTCGTGGTGGCTTACGCAGATGATGTGTCTGTTATAGTTACCAATACACGCGTGATTGAGCGCATCAATGACCTGTTCGGACGTTTTGAACGTGCCGCCGGCGCAAAGCTCAATAGATTGAAAACTGTTGCAATCAACGTCGGGCTCATTGATGGAGATCCACTGAATGTGCCATGGTTGCAAACAGTAGAAACGGTGAAGATTCTTGGCATTTATTTCACTAACTCAATCCGCGCAATGACTAAGATTAATTGGGATGCTCAAGTTACCAAATTTGCTCAACATTTGTGGCTGCACTCGATGAGGGGACTTAACCTTCAACAGAAGGTTATTTTGCTAAATACCTATATCACGGCAAGGATTTGGTACGTGGCATCAATCCTTCCACCATATTATGTCCACACAGCGAAAATCACAGCAACCATGGGTTCCTTCTTGTGGCGCGGCCAACCGGCGCGGGTTCCTATGGAACAATTGGCACGAGACAAAGCATCTGGCGGACTAAAGTTGCAGCTACCGGCACTCAAATGCAAAGCGCTTCTGGTGAACCGTCACTTACAGGATAGTGGCTCCCTTCCCTACTATCAGTCCCTTCTGAACCAAGCAATTCCTCTTCCCGCAGATCTTCCTTGCCTTAAACTATTAGCCCAACAAATTCCACTTCTCCCCCCACTTATCCGAGAACACCCCTCCAGCGACCAAATTCATCGTGTTCTTCTGGAGCGGACAGATATACCACGGGTCGAGAGAAAATATCCTGGATCAAACTGGAGACATATATGGACGAATATCGGGTCGAAACAACTGTCATCAAGCCAGCGGAGCAGCTTGTATATGCTGATCAACGAGAAGACGGAGCATAGAAGGTTGATGAAGATCATCCAACGGGCAGACGGCGAGAGCTGCTTGCACTGCAACGCTACGGTTGAAACATTGCAGCACAAGTTCAGCGCCTGCCCCCGCGTGGCGCACGCATGGGCTTCCATACAGCAGAGGACTACGACGATACTCGGCGGCTGGCAAAGGCTGTCCATCGAGGATCTGCTTCGACCAGAACTTCTGAACATAGGGATAAGAAAACGAAACGAAATTTTGAAAATCTTTGTATTGTACATCGACTATGTTAATTCTGTTAACGATAGAATAGATGTTAGTGCCCTAAATTTTTACATCGATTGTGAACAATAATACGTGTAAATTAATGTTTTAACAAAGAAATAAACAATACTTTTACGGAAAAAATAAAAAAAACAGGCGAAAAAGCGGAATTAACAAGCTAGCAATATGTCTCTTCAAAAATACAGATGGAACTCCATCAGGTCCAGGATTAAAGGATGACTTGAGCAGAGTCGCGGCCTCAGAAATCATCTCAGCATTAACATCAATTGCACCCAGCGTTTGATCATTTACTGGAACGTTTCTGGCAGCCAAATTAATATGGTCGTCAGTTAGTGTCTCATTATGGAATACACTGACAAACTTGTCGGAAAAACGGTGGCATATGAACGGTGGCAGCAACTTCTCCGTTGAATTCCATAGACGATGGGAGGCCGGATTCCCTGCGTTGCTCGTTCACGTAGATCCAAAAGGATTTCGGGTGTAGCTTAAGTTTGCGCTGGATGCCTCGTTGGAAACTTGAAAGGCATTCACGACTGACTCGCTGGTACATGTGATTCAGCCCCACATAATGTAGTTTCAGAGGAACCGTGCGATACTCCGTAAATCTTCTCAATGCTGCTCTCTTGATTGACTTCAACCTACGTAGGTCTCTCGTCTTCCAGGGGTGGTGAGTTCTTTTCGGGACGTGTCTGTCAATGACATATGCCAAGACATGTGAAAAAGTTTGTGCTGCAGCCTCAACGTCATCTGGATCAAGGATGTTCTCCCATACCATGCTAGACAATACATCTATGATGCTACGGTGGTCAGCTTTATGGAAGTCATAAGAAACCGTAGCAAGATAATCGTCGAAATCAAATATGCCCGAACGAAATGACAGAGGAAGTTGTAAAACAATTACCGAGACTCAGCTTACAAATAACATTTTGCTGAGATATCAGCTAACAAACAGATATTTTTCAGAGATATCTGCAAAAGTAAATGCCGAGGTAATCGGCTGTTGGAGATTTTACCGAGCTAGATTAAGTGTGTACACACTTAGATTTTTTTGCCGAGATGGGCACCACCGAGCAGCTCGGCATTTTATTTTGCTGGAAATTCATGCTCGGTGGTGCCCATCTCGGCGAAAAAATCTAAGTGTGTAGAAACGTTGTAGAAAAGTATAATTAATTTTGGCTCCGCAAAGCTGCCGCATTTGAGCCAGTATTAGGGTTTTTATAAAAGCACGTAGCTGAAAGGTAAGGTCAACGCGTTGAGCTGTAAGCGAAAATTTCGTGGAATGGCCACTCGAGTTGATGGATCTGCCAGGGTCTATTTTGACTCTCAACGGTTCCGACGACAACTTCTGTCGGATAGCCGGAGGACGATGCACCATTGGAAATCAACAGACCTATTTCGATACTGAACTCCAGCACACACCATTGCATATGGTGGGGAGGGGGATTTTATCAAACAAACGTGGTATTCATATACTTCTTCTTCTTCACTTCTCAAGATTATTGCTTATCATGTACTTCCACAGTTATTAATTGAGAGCTTTTGATGCCTGTACCATTTATGCATTAATATAAAATATTAATATAAAGTGCCAACATTTCAAAGGGGCGTAATTGCATTTGTAAACTATGGCTTTCGAATAAAAGCTAACTCATGAAAAATAATGACACCAGCAGGAAGAGGAATGTTTCCTCTAGCAGCTAGCATTGTAATTTTGGAGAGGTAAGATTTCATTCGCGAGAAATTGACGGCTAAAGTCATTGTTTACTAAAGCAATTACGCCCCTTTGAAATGTTGGCATTGATCATACTCATCAATTTTCCAACCCGAATAATTCCTAGGCCGGACCGGAAATCGAACCCATCCACCTTCAGCATGGTCTTGCTTTGTAGCTGCACCTTTACCGACTGAGCTAAGGGAGGCATACATATAACACATGTCTAAACAAAACTTATATGGGGCTAATTTGTATGCAGTGTGCCACACAATATTCTGTCGTTCCCATATTGAGAAATGTAGAATGCGTCCACTTTTATGTTTCAACTTTTTTCAGAATTTAAACTTAGACAACGAGGTTCAATTTGAAAAAAAATCTATGTTTTTTTTTTGGTTTTCATATACATATGTAAATCTGCTTTTCCACTTACATTTATTATTACTACAATATAAACAATTATTTGACATTGCAAATAATAAAACCACAATCGTTTATCAGGATTTACAGTTCCACTCAAGACTGGCCACGAGAGCAATGTGGTCAGATGGCAATACCGGCGATGGAATGGCATCGTACGCCATCAGCTCCTCCTCGCTGGGCAGTGGCACCACGTCGTTAACCCGAAGAGCTTCGCACTGATAGTAGATGAAGTCGATGCAAGCCTGGAAGCCAACGGTGTAGTTGGTATATTTCGGACATCCGCAGGCCGATTTGAACAAGAATGGCTGCGACAGAGTCACTCCTCGTACGGCTTCTTCCTCGTTGCTCTGCCAATCGGCCATTTCGTCACCGACGAACCTTTCCGTCATCAAACGGTACATTCCACACTCGGGAACACTATTGAAGTCTCCGCAGAATACAATGGCAAAATCTTTTCTATCCAAACCAAGTTCTCGTTCGAACTTTTCGTAAAGATCACGGACATAGAGCATGGAGAATCCACCTTGCAGTAACCGAATATGATCAGCGTCCGGATGAAAATAAAAGTGAGTATTGGCTACCAACAAGTGCTTCTTCGGAGCGGAACGGGATCGCAGTAGTGTAACTTGTATTGCAGTTGAGCGATCTTTGATTCGGGCTGACAGCTTTTCGTTCAATTTAATCTGATTCCAAAGCCCTTGGAAGGCCACGTTCGTTTCCAAATTTTCTCCAAACGTGATACCTTGCCTGTCCAGTTCCCTGTTAAACAAATAAATTGTATATTAATACCTATTTGGGAGATAGCTTTGTTGATATCAATGAAACTCACTCGAATCGTTTCACATCGTAAAAGGTGGCCAATCCTTCAGCAGTTTTTCCTTTTGCTTTAAAATGTCCTTCGAGGTTTTTCATTCGTAGCACTGGTACCAAGTCCAGTTCAAAAATCTTGGCATCAACTTCCTGCAGGCAGATTATGTCTGAATTATATCCCAGGATTTCCTTGATGAAGAGCTGCTTCCGATAATCGATATGTAATGCATAATTTGGACAATATTTAAACAGTTCGGTCCTACTGTAATCGCTATCAGCATACAAATCAGCCAAAATATTGTAAGTAACGACTCGAAATTGAAATTCGCTCACCAGCTTGCTCTGTGTAAACAGGTGACGAATGTCGAAAGGGCATTGACCAGGACCAGCCTGTATCTCACAAGAGGAAACAACCTCCGTAGGTGGTCCCGCTTTGTGTGCATTTTTAGGAACACAAACGATCTTGAGATGGCATCCAACATCATCAGGTTTAGCCCTATACGAAAATCCACTTCCAACCGGGGTCCATTCGATCTGTTGAGCATTGTTTGATTTTGGCATTTTTCCTCGGTACCATTGAAATTCGGATTGCTCTCTTTCGGCGAATATTAATTCAAGTTTCGATGGGTACACATAAAATCCGGCCAAGATCGACTGAGGTAGATTGATGCTCTGGACTGAAGGTGAATTAAAATCTATCCGGAAGTCATCATCCAATATTTTCAGCAGTATCTGCTCCTCATTGCGGACTTTATTCAAAAGTTCCGATATAGTAATATCCTGGAGGTCTTGTTCCTTTCTTACGTCGAAAAATCGTACCTTAACATCTGGCAGTTCTTGCATCGCTTGCGAGTTTTCTGTTTCCGGTAACTGCTCACCTGTTCCAGGTTTGTTTTTCTTTTTTTTATTGGACTTTTTCTTGACTTCCTTTTCAATGTTGGTTCGCATCCTTTCCAAGCTGGCATCGATGTTCTCCGTAACATTCCTGGAAAAATTGAACACCTTATCGATTCTGTATCGTTCACTGGCCAAATGGAAGCAGATTGCACATTGAGCTTCGTTGGGCAGCTGACGGAAATAGGCAACGTTCATCTTGAACCGATGGCGTAACACAAAGTTGGAACTGGATCGTGTGACTAATTCGGCAATCGGCAGAACCTTTTTGCTTCGGAAAAACGAGCTGATAACCAAACCTTTCCTGATGCCTAAACTTGGCACTAGTGGAAGAAGCATTTTTTTTTCTGCTTCTTCTGACGTCTCAGTTGACGTTTGACAACAGCGTCGGGTCAGGGATAAGGACTGTCAAAATAAAAGTGCGTGCGCGTGTGCTGACCACAGAAAAAATAATGGACGCTTGACGTGCTTCGTAATTCTACACTCAAAAATATTATAAACACAGAATGTATAAAATTTATTTCGATTAGAGGCTTTTTACCCATCGTACAAAAAGTAATCTAATGTATATTTTCATTTTATTCTAAATGTTAATACTAGCCTTGATACTAGCAGAGGAATCTTTTCTGTGCTTGGCTGAATATTTACTGCCGGAGACCATCAGCATTCCAAACAAGGAAGAAAATGTTCTGGACCATTGGAAATAGGAAAATGTCTTTTAGACCTTCTGAATCAATCCAAAGAAGTTAAGGTGAGTAGTTTTAAGCCCTGCTTTAAGCTTTTCGTTAAATTTCTGGATGCAACTCGCGATTTTACAACTGTGCAATTTATAGACCATTAAATGGAAATTTTCTATTTTCGATATAGATAAACCAGAGCGGGTTGTCTTGTTACGCCATATTCAACCGGAACGGCGTTTTGCTTGTCATCACAAATGATATGTCCTTTGCTAAAGCTTTTCGCAACGTTAAATAAATTCAAAACAAATCATCGGCCCTGCCTCAAGCAACAAACAACAAATATTGTATCAATAAAAATTATGCGTTTTCAAATTAAAATTTTCCAATATGTAGTAGTTTTAACTTCGAGAAAATTCAAATAGAAATAGATTTTGTTGGTTTGAAAGTGTTTTTTTCACTTCCGAGTTGTAATTTTAAAAGTGAAATTTTCAAAAGTAAAGTTGTACAACTGTCAAAAATGCTTTTCCATATTCATTGAAAAGTGAATCCAAAAGGCGCGAAAACAAACATTGAATGTGAAGTTTCAAATTATGCACTTCGACAGTGGTTTTTCATATAGGCATAGGTTGCAAACGTAAACTTTGTAAATGGCTTCTTGCATAAATTAAAATCTATCTATGAAAGCCACCGAATTCATCGGATAGAGCCTGGAATAAAGGGCCTCTTCCTTTACACGACAATGCTGGTGATTTACTTGGGAGAGTTTTCATTCTCATGAAATTTGTGAAAAAGTCATTGTTTACGTTTACGGGCTCTAATGAAAGATCACTGTTAACTTACCTATGTAGAATTCGATTCTGTTTAGAAAATTAATTCCCGTTCAAAAGATGTTTTTCTCACGTGTATTTTGGGTTTTGAGGAAGAATGAGAGCCCATTATCAAGCTGAGCGTGACTCATACAAGCAGATCGAGAAGCAGATACACCGATACGACACTATGCAGTGGCCGAGGTAGTGGCATCCGAAAGTCAACACCCATCTTTTAAGTGTCAGCAAGAGGACCTGACGCCACCGATTCAATTTTTATTTTTCAGAAGATCCGGTAAATTGAGTTATTGTAGTGTTTTAATTTAATTTATTTTTTTCCTGCAGCAAATCCAGAAACACCCAATACAGCAGAGTCAGCAATTGCTTTCCACAAGATTTCGTGAGGCAGTTTTGGCGGCACTTAGCATTGCAGGAGTGGAAGGAGGATGTTTGTCGATATGGCAATAACGGGGTCTGAGCATCACTTCCAGTGGATAGAGTCAGTCTCAAGGCGTCACAATATCAGCTTCAATCGACCAAATCAATGCGAAGAAGAGACTGCTGGCTTTCTTTTTCAAGGGGACACTCTAAGGAAGCCTTAGCGTGAAACTTTAAAGGCACAAATGTCAGGTTCCACAAAACATACATATTTGAAATTGCTACTCCTTGTTTGCTGTGCTACTACAAAAGGGAGTAGCAATTTCAAATTAGTATGTTTTGTGGAAGCTGACATTTGTGCCTTTGAAGTTTCACGCTAAGGCTTCCTTAGAGTATCACCTTAAAGTCGAACAGCTTCGCAGCATTCTAGAACCTCAGTTGGCGTGCACAAACAAATGTTCAATCGCTTGTCTCTCTTTCTCCCGTCGCTCCATTGGTCTTCCTTTCAAGCTTCGGTGAAACGGATGAGCGAAAGAGCGCTCGACTTTGATAGTTTTCTCTTTCATGAAACACATCAACAGAGGTTTCATGACGTATATGACGGAAAATGAAATTACATATTTAAAGCATTTCTCACGTGAAAACACTTGAAGATTACACGTAATATGTTTAATTTATCTTCCATCCACATATTTATCTAAAAAAATTAACGAAAACGGGACATAACGCATTTAAACAAATAGAAAGAGCGGTGATAGAGTGTTCGTGAAAAGGGATTGAAATCCATAATGAGGTTTCGTTTAACTAGAAAATCGACGTTACTTACATTGAAAGCGATGGGCAAAGCAACGACGAGAAGATCCACAGCCGTTTCCTTCTACGTGCTTCTTTTTCATTATCATTTCTTGCTGATAGTCTAGCTAGGTGTTTTAGAAATGAAGCGTTGAACACGTTTGTATGAGAGAAACAAAACTCGAGTTCATTTTAGAGCTTCGAACATGTAGAGCCCTGGTCAGTCTAAGCCAGTGATAGGGATTACGAAATGCGCTGCCACGTGAACCAACAGCAGGAGGAATCCTAGATCAATTGATCCTTCTTGGTGGCTCTGTATCTTCCGGCTGTACTGCAAGATCCCAGCCGTACTAATCAGATTCATTTTTTCACCAAATAATATTAATGGCTGCTACGGACTAGACGTTTTTTTCCTTGATTTGTTTTCCGTCGATCTTGTTTTCCAGGCTGAGCACCAATGCTACCGACGCCAGGGAGGCAGCAACCCGCACCTGGACCCTACCTATCAACCCATCAATTCATGAACCGGGGACCAATGGCTTTACTTCCCGTGATCAGAGATGTTATGCCTCAGAACATTTTGGTGACGCCGACTGGGATTGAACCAAGACCTACTGGAGTGAGAGGTAATCACGCTTACCACTACATCACCGGCGCCGCTAGATTGGACTGTTATGGAACTTTTTTTTAGCGAAATGTTTTACCTCTTCCGGATGCTGTTTTGAGTACACAATCCTAATCTACGCCACTCTGCTGTACATCATGCTGACGATGTTACTTGCCGTTGTGGAAATCGTCTCAAAGTGTAAGATCAAGATGTCAAGAATGTGAATGTGAATAGTGACTTTTTCTCTTTTGCAGTATGAACCTTACTTTTCCAGTGCACACACCCACGTATTTGATAAACATGATTCCATTAAATCCTGATGAATGTGGGCGTCTTAGTGGAATACCTGTATAATGAGAGAGAGGATTAGTATTTTCCATTTAATTCCATTTCCCTATCGGCTACATTCGTGCTTAGATTCGTGTGGTAAGATAGGTAGTCTATCGATGCAGGATGAAGCATTCCATCAACAGGGAGTGGGAAAATCGTCAGAGGAACCCGAGGCCAAAGCAGCGAAGGCTTCGGAAAGCGGATAGACAACATGAATAATTTAGGAAGTAATAAATATATTTTTAGAAATTTTATCAAATAAATTAAGAAATTAATTCATATTTATTAGAACTTATTTAAAAAATCTACGAAAAAAAAAACGATAAAAATTCTTATTTTAAAATTAAAAACACTGTTTTCTATTTGAGAATGGCACATTTTATGTCAACTATACCATGCTTTCCTTTCAAAAGTTTGTTTTGAAATGAAAATAATCCGCTTTTAATTTGAGCACTGCCTCGCTTTCCATTTGACAGTACTACAATCCACTTTAAAAATGTCAACTTTTGAAAGTAGGGAGTCAGCAACTTTTGAATTAACAGTTGGATGACTTCTGTTTTGAAAGAACCAATGCAAACTTTTAATTCTACCAATGGTTTTTTTTTTAATTTCTAGATAGAGCTGGAATTAGGGCGTAACAGCTTTTGTAAACAATGACTTCTCTCGATGATATCTAGAAAGCCAATGCTCGCATACTCAAATCAACATCACTATCAAGTAGGGGAAGACTTCCCCTTCGCGTTGGTTATGTTGGTTGGGGTGGGCGTGCCTTGAGTTTCGAGAAATCATCGATAGAAGTCATTGTTTACAAAAGCTGTTTCGCCCTAATTCCAGCTCTATCAAGATTTAATTAACGATTATTTTTTGTGTGTAGGGCCTAACTTTGGTTTGAAATTTTTCAATCATCGGCCCTTCAACGTCACTACCCTAATAAACAAATACCATAAACGAACTGTATCCTGGATGAGTAATCTATCCCCAGGGTTGCTTCCACTCACTTGCTATAAAAACATATTTTTCGGAATTATGCAATCATTAGATGATATAATGATATGTTGTACTTGTAAGTAACAAGAAGAAGGTCTAAAGTATGTGTTTGACTCATAAAACCTGTCAATTTTACTTTCAGAGCGTCACAATAAGCGATCGTATGATTCATGAGCGTTCACTCAGAGTGAGCACTCGCGAGTCGTAAAATGGCTGATTGTGACGCACTGAAAGCAATATTGGCAGATTGTATGTGTCAAACACATACTTCACGTCCTCATCTTGTAACTTACAAGTACTATCACTATACCATCTCATGATTTCATAATTCTGAAAAATATTTTTTTATAGCAAGTGAGTGGAAGTAACCCTGTCTATCCCACAAATGGTTTGGATGATACCCCGAACAGCTCTCTTTCATGTTTATTTTTATTATAGGGTAGGCTTATCAATGAAATGAAATAAATGAATGGTTGGCCGTTTTAGCGTGCGGCCCTATTAATGAATCGAAAATTTCGTTGATCGCCCGCATAAACGCGAACCATATCTTGACCTTACCGAAAATGGTTAAAAATTGTTTATAATCCTTGCTAAACTTTAACTGAAATGGTTATGGAACTTTACATGAACGTTTGTGTGATAAAGTTTTAACCTTATGTATTATGGTTTTTTGGAAGTGAACCTTACAAACAATGGGTTGTTAAGAACCATTACCATTTAAAATTTTAGTTTTCTCCATACATTTTCGGAAAGAGAACTATATTAGAACCTTTTTAATTATGATTTGAGAACTTTAATGGTAATGGTTATGGTATTCAGTAAGGTCCATGGATGGTTTTGTAACATCGATCAACTTTATGTGGAATATATCGCGAATAGGTTGCCTGTAAATTAATGATTACCAATTCGTGATATATTCCACGTAAAGTTGACCGACAATACAAAACCATCCATGGACCTTACTGACTACCATAACCATTACCATTAAAATTCTCAAACCATAAGTAAAAAGGTTCTAATATAGTTTTCTTTCCGAAAATGTATGGAGAAAACAAGAATTTTGAATGGTAATGGTTCTTAACAACCCATTATTTGTAAGGTTCACTTCCAAAAAACCATAATACATAAGGTTAAAACTTTATCACACAAACGTTCATGTAAAGTTCCATAACCATTTAAGTTAAAGTTTAGGAAGGATTATAAACAATTTTTAACCATTTTCGGTAAGGTCAAGATATGGTTCGCGTTTATGCGGGCGGCTGTTTCGAAAATCGAGTTATTTTTAATGATTTTTCTCGATTATGTGGAAATTTCTTCTTCAAGCGGTGCTAAAGAATGGTATCAAACCCCGATTTGTTTACCTTTTGGACATCCAGCTTTCCTTGTCGGTAATGGCGGCCTGTTTGTATCAATAAATGTATCCTTCACTGTGCTTTTTGGCACTATCTGGTGGTTCGGATTTTGACCCCTGCATTTCCCTCTCCCAGGAACAGAAGAAAATGGAACGACACACGCTCTACAGGTAGTGTCAAAAAGCACAGTGAAGGATATATTGATTCATACAAACATGCGCTGGATAAGCTCATTTTAAAAGTTACTCGGGTAGAATTCACCAGGTCGGTCAAAACTGAACCTTTTGGGTATACCCAAAAATGGGTAAACTATGTTGGGAGTGACAAGTTGACTAATGAACAAAGTCGATCGGATTCATGTCGATGTTTTAATTTGTCAAGCTTAATAATGTTTGGGTAGGTTCAGTCTGGGAGGATTCTACCCAAATTTGAGAAGTTTTCAAATAGAGTGCATAGAATTGCTAATCATCCAAAATGTTTTCATTGGGGAGTTTTGCATCTGTAGTTGTATCATGTTTGTCGGTTCGTTTCATTGGATTTGATGCATACATTTTCGGTACGAACAAGAAGTAGTTCGAGTGTTTCTCCCGTTCGTTGCTGTCTTCTCTGTGGTTGCGTGGTGCTGCTGAAAGCGCGAGTGCCTGGTGATCGCGTCGTTTTTTCTTATCGCTATTTTTTCCTTCGTACGGGATCCGGAAAACGCCACCCTTAATTGGAAGTGCAAGTGAAAAACCTCACGGTGACTCGTGTATATCCGGTGACTTGGTGTGAAAAATACAAAAGACCAAATTCCAGATCAACAAGCTGGCAACAACAACGAATGGGGCCATCAGGGGAGCATAAAAAAGGCTTGCCGCAGTGATGATAAGCTAGTGTTCGAGCAAGAGGAAAATTTTATCGATCGATTTCTCTGCCGATTTTCTTGCTGCTTCCACTCCACTGTTGCTTATGTGAATCTGTCAACGCCAGTAATCGGAAAAATCGTGAGAAGTTCTGCGAATGATTTCCGGTATTATTATGGCTTGTCGTTAGTGATTTGTTGTGCTTATCTGCATCTACGAGAAATGTATCAAGATTTAGCATTAGCTGTTCAGATAGCACAGTAAAAAAAAACAACAGGAAGGAAGTACTCAGGAATCAATCGAGTCTAGGAGTGTAATGAGAAATTGATACGGCATATGTACGAGAAATCCCTGTTCATTAGAGAATAAAATCAGGGATTACCAGCAAAGCAAACAAGGGCGAAATCACGGAGGCAGTTCCAGCAAAAGAAGAACCTGCAGTATTATTTTTACTACGGTGAGTAGGTATCTATAACCTGTTTGCCGTATAACGATTTGTGGCATTTGTGTTGATAAATATTTGTTTGTCATACTTTGCATACCTAATCCCTCGGCTGGAATTCATTTCGAAACATTTTTGCTAATCAATAATTATGTAACAATTTATAGGTATCTTGTTTTTATAATAATATTGGTTGTACATGCATACATCACTAGACACTAGCTGTGTTCATGTTTCTTCTTTTTTCTTAACTTTTAACGCTTCTTATGCGAGTGTTTTGCCTGCCTACTATCAAGTTAGTATTCTTTGGAGCACTTCCACAGTTTTAAACTATTCGAGCATCATACTGAAAATGAAGTTCATAGTATTTTTTCAAAAGGATTTATCCAAGGTTGTTTTTTTTTCGAAAGTATGAATTTATTAGATGTTTTAACCATATTTTTTATTTGTTAGATGCAAGAAAAGGTTACGGAGTACTCGTTTGACATATTAAGCCTGTCAATTTCGCTTACTGAGAGTCGCAATCAGCGAAACCGAATTCGCTATTAGAAAGTAACACTGACAGGTTTTAGGTGTCAAACACATTCTTTGAAACCTAATCTTGTAACTTACAAGTAAATCAAGTTTTGGAAGCGTTGGGAGAAATCTTCCTTTTTTGTAAATAAGAAGAGAAAATATCTAAACTTTTTCTAAGGCCTCAAGGTTGTTTAGTTTACTAGACTTGAAGTGAACTAAATAAAAATCATTGGAAATCCCGTTACGTGAATCGCCAGGACGGGATTTCATTCTTATTTGGATTTCTTGGACAGACTCAATTCCAAGTTATTTAATCAATTCATCTTTGATCTGATTCAGGGATTCACCACTGGGCAGACCTTTCAAGATAACCTTGAACAGACGTTCCATTTTGGTGTCGAAAGTAAAAAATGTGTGTTACTTCTCAGTAAGGTACTTGAGAAGACGTTTGAATCCGTCCAAGGTTTTCATCCCGACGGCCAATTTGAAGTGAAAACTTAATTTGAACGAAATTCAAAAGTTCCTTGCGAAGAGCATGGAAATCAAAAGTGGTTGCAACAATAGGGGGAACCTTTTCCTTTTTGGAACTAAGCCTGGAATCTTTAGTGGAATTTTGCCTGGGTGATGGGTCATTCTCATCATTCGTAAGCATATCAAATTGATTGCTCAATTGAATTTCATCAGAAGGGGGATGACGCGATTGCCGTTTTCTTTTGCCCTTAGGCGCCATGGCGGCGGAAACATGTTTCTTCAAATCGACTTCCTAGCAGATTACTATAAGAATTTTTCAAATCATAATCCAAGCAGGATTACCTCGGGTAGGGTCCAAATAGGGATCGAAGAGATAACATTAAAATAGAAATTTATACTTTTTCTCCAAATCGATTTCCAAGCAGATTAGAGCGAGGTACCTAGCTCCGGTACTCACAAGTCTCTACCTCACGCCTCACGCCTCACGAGTCATATGACTACCAGCTGAAACATGGATATAGTTGGGTGGGTAGCCTGTGCAATGTTGTCAATCTGACAATGGCAAAGTGAAGAGGTGCGGCGCGAACGCTGGCACGATAACCGTAGCACGGAATTGAGGAAATACTTCGTCAACCCGAGTGTCCACCAAGGAGCACAGAAACCAACAGAGAAGGATTATGAACGGATTTTAGCACTTTAGCGCAAAACAAAGAACAAGAATTGGAACTAGATGTACATGAGCAAAAATCCGCTATCAAAGGAGACCTCCTTCGATTCAGTTGCTTAGTAATTTGACGAAGGCATGGATCATTCTCATTTGAGAAACGCTTGATATCATTCAATTGAGTGTAACCTACACATAAACGGAGGTCTGGTCGACATTTCGGCGAAAAAGCCAAGCCAACCTGACTTCAACCAAACCCCAACCCGATGTTGATCCGACAACAATACGGCATTGAGTCGACATCTACCATAAATTTGCCTTATAATGATCCGACATCGGGTCGACTTGTCTGTTCGGAACCATTTTGCTGGGTTTCTTCCATACTCCACTGTCGTTTTTTCAAATGACAGTGAGTGACTCAATTGCAGTGACAATGAGCTTCGAATGAGAAAGGGGCTCTTCAAATTATGGTCATGTGAGAATGCGTTTCCACAGAATTGATTGAATGGTTGTATTGGTTCGTCTTCAATCGAAAGATATGAAAATTAACAGCACTGAGTGGAGTTGCCAAGGTGTTTTTATCGTAGGCAAATCGTAAGCTCCAAATTCGCTATTATCGTCGTTGTTGGCAGTACTATCCATATATTTTAAATTAGGGGCTGTTCATTAACTATGTAGACAGTTTTTTACGGATTCTTAATCCCCTTCCCTCTGTGTAGACAACTGTCCATACAAAAAAAATTGTATTGGCCTTGGATAATTGCCAACCCCCCTTAACCGTCGACAGCCCCTTAACCGTCGACCGTAGAAAATACATGAATTATCGCGTATCTTAATCATTCGTTACATATCAAAAGAGAACTTAATCGTACTTTGACTTGAAGCGCTGTGGATTGTGAGATGCCCGATAACCCTGGAGGGATCGTTTTTGCTTACTGAGTTTTTATCACGGGTTTAATCTTATACCTTGTACAGACATACAAAGTTCACTGTTGTACTACCGTTGTAGCATAGAGGTAACTCTAGGACCAGAAGGTCCCGAAGAAACGAGCTCAACTTTTTGGCTCAGCTCTGGTACTATCTTCGGTCCCAAGCTAATCGATTCACCCCTCGAAACATAGGAAAATCCACTAACCCCTCATTTTATCTGTCAAACTTTCATAGCGAATCAAAACAAACATAGTGTAGTACTAGAATTACGACTAGAATGGGGTACGTTAATCGTATGCTTGGGACCAATAGGCTAGTCAAGCAGTGAGCCAATTTAAAATCATTAGTTTCGTATTGATTGTTGGTTGTACTGTTGTACAAATTGTACTTTTTGAGGTACTAGATTAAAGGAATGGTACTAATTTGTATGTATGTCTATAGTATTAAGCTCTCCATCAAAACTGTTTAAATGCATGATCACTAAACAAAATTATATGTTCTTTCGATAGTTGGCTATCGAGAGATTAAATGAGCAACAAATAAACAATATATACTAGACTGGCCCACATTTATATGGGAGATTTTTTTTATCAATTTTTTCAACGGGCCAACCCCCAAATTTGTGCCGATAGGTGAGAAAACCACTCTCTGAAAATTTCAGCTCATTCGGATGTAACACCAGCTGGCGCTTTTGGCTTAAAGTTTGTACGGGGATTTTTTTTTTCGAAATCTATGGAGAAATAACATCTCTTCATATAATGAGAGAGAGAAGGATTAGTATTTTCCATTTAATTCCACTATTTTATTTGCTTATCCTTGACAGATACGCGTATTTCGTCTACAATGTGCAGACTTCTTCAGTGTCTTGTACTAATACTCGACATTAGTACAAGACACTGAAGAAGTCTGCACATTGTAGACGAAATACGCGTATCTGTCAAGAATAAGCAAATAAAGTAGTGGAATTAAATGGAAAATACTAATCCTTCTCTCTCTCTCATTATACAGGTATTCCACTAAGACGCCCACATTCATCAGGAACATCTCTTCACTCATTCGTGCATAAAACTGGTTCAGCAAACTTGTTTAAGCTCAGAATTTCAGCACATGTAGCTTAAGCTATCAGAAACAACTTTGCTCAAGACAGCATCATGATTCAAGTTAGTATTATGGAGATATACATTCTTGAATTTATATGTCCATTTTGTTCGTATATTGCAACTAAATTCAGGCGGCTTATGCAACGTATCAACTAGATTACAACTAAAAAATAAAAGTTCATATTTTCCACAGGCCAACATCCTAACTCATGTCAGTAGGTGAGATTACCACTCTCTGAATGTTTCAGCTGTTTTTGACGTAACACTGGTGCTTTTGGTTTAATGTTTATATAGGGGATTTGGTTGAAATTCCCCTTGGCTAGTTTTTGCACCTTGCTGTTGGTGGGCGGGCTTAATTTCATGTAAACATTAACTTCAACCCCCGATTCCTGACGGTCCTTTTGAAATGTTGATAAAGAATTATGTGCAGTCAAGGCAACGGTTTCACGAGTAACAACGCTCGTAAAACTAACGGCTTTGATTTGGTGAGTAGGTTAGTACTTTTCTGCCCTGATGATCGTGATTCTTAGGAGCAATAAAAACGTCACACATTTCAAATCATTTAAAACTAGAGCAGTTTCAACCAATTGAACTTGTTGCGGACATCCAGGGTCTAGCATCACCACCGTTTAGACAATGTTTACATCTCCCGAGTCTGATGGTGTGTATTGTAAACTTTGCTGAGGCGGTAATAGATCCGTTTAAAGACTATAAAAATAAACTACACGCTTGCATATTTCGGGTTTCCCCTCAAGTCTGATCTTAACAGATTCCAACAAAAGCAAAAATCGTAGAGCGAGATATTTATACAACTTTCCCATCGTAATTGCTCGATGTGGTTTGCTGGGGGTAACATTTAAGACGGATTGATTCAAGCACGTCGGATGGGGCTTTTCGTCTTTCACACGTTTGGCACATATTCCCGGCTCATTATTAGTACGGCTCGCTGGCAAGTTTCATCTATCAACTAACTACTGCCTGCCGCCGGTTTGTCGGCCGGCAATGAACTATATAATTTTAAAGGTCCTATTTTTAGATTGCTTACCTCAGCATTTCTTCTGAGATCTTTAAAAAAAAAAGTTGGCATCTGCTTCTCCCTGACCTGACGCGAGAAAGAGAAAGTGATTGCCGTTATCTTCTCCGATTTGCACCTGATCAATGCATCGCCGCACTGGATGTGAAGTTATATTCAACTGAATTCAAGTATTCGAAATACGCGAAAAATGTACAGACAATTGATATAGCCGTTGCGCTCGTTGCCACCACCACCACCATCATCATGATCGTCATCTTCGTGGTCGTAGTCGTCATCGGAAAGCAATGTGATTTTATTT